TTTTTTTCCCAATTAAGAAAATCCATGGGTCTTTATTCATTTATTTTACATTTATTATGCCATGAATTCTTAGGTAATAGGTTCCAGCAGCTCAGGATTCTTTCCATTTGTTCTGACAAAATATATTTCTCTGGGTGGAGCAGGCTGGCACTTCAGCTGAACCCAGGTACCTTTCTCTTTGGCTTCCTTCTTTTTCTGATAATTTTCTTTTACATGTTTCAGGAAGGTGTCTCAGCTCTTAGAGTGCTTAATATGCTCAATATGCACATTAATTCTCTAGGCAAGAATCTTGCTCTTAACTTGCTTATTCACAATGTCAACGGCATGCTGGGTAATATTGTAAACTCTCCCAGTTTTGCCATGCTAACATTTGTGGGACATTCCTTTTTGAACAGTACCCATTCCCTAATGTCTATATTATCATCCTTCTTGTAGATTCGCATATATGTGGCCACAGAAACAATTCCATCTTTTCTAAAAGGTCTAGAGAACAGACATCAGGTTCCTCTCCTCTTTCCCTTTGTGTTCATCATTTTGGCAAATTACTGGAAGATGGCAGTTCAGGCCAAAAGGAAGGGCTTCATTTTATTTTGAAATAGAGTTCCACCAAGTTGTTGAGGCTGGCCTCAAACTTGCTATCCTCCTGCTTCAGCCTCTCAAGTAGCTGGGATTATAGCATGCACCACCACACCTAGTTTATCCTCACTCCATTTCTTTCCTTTTTGGTACTAAGGTTTGAACCACTGAGTCATATCGCTAGTCCTTTTTATTTTTATTTGAAACAGGGATTCCCTAAGTTGCGTAGGGCCTCATTAAATTACTGAGACTGGCTTTGAACTTACAAACTTCTGCCTCAGCCTCCTGAGTTCCTGGAATTATAGGCATGTACCACCATGCCTGGCTCCTCACCCCATTTCTAATGCACACTGAAAACCTTGATGATTCTTCTGGGGGATGATCTGGAATCATTTCACTGAGCTTCTCACCAGTAGAGCAAGAGAAGTCATGAGATGCACCATTCATTCTCCAGTTCCAACCCTCCCTCCTCAGAGCAGCACGGGACATTCCAGACCCTCTCACCACCACCACCATCACCACCCCTTGCTCCTGTCACGAGGATCCAATCCCCCAGAGCCTATTCATGTGATGCTCAGCTGAGACCCCCCCTCTGCCTGTCTCTCCCAGCCCCAGAACAAAAGATCTAGGCTGTGTTCACCCATCATTGTACCTCTTTAGCCTTCTTATCCAACACCATATTCTGTCACTCCCCACTTTAAATCCTCTACCCCCAAGTACCTGAGACATTACCTGAAAGATCTTTTCACCCTTGTGGAGTCCCAGCTCCAGCTCACTGCCTTCGGGTCCTTAGATTTAGCATCACAAAGACCCACTATTCTTTTGCCCCTCCAAGCAGACAGGATTATTTTCATGTTCAATCCCAATTTTCCAAGTAGGGCGGGAGCCAGTGCCCATATTCTCACTAAATCAAACAGGTGGGAGAAGCCTGAAATATTACTGGTATCTCACATTAAGAGCGAGAAAACCAGAACAGGTGTTCAATCCCTAATCAACACCTGCTCCTGTCCATACACCCACACTCACCTTCTGTGGCCCCCACAGCCAACAGAGCACTTAGCACACACAAATGGAGAAAGCACCTTCTCAGCACCACATCCATCCTGTTCTTCCCTTCAGCAACCAAAGGCGCTGGGGGACTGGAAAAAAACCCTATATAAGAAAAGAGTGCTCATTTACATAGCCCTTCCTCCTCTCCCTCTAGGAGTGGTGTGGGAGGAGCGAAAAGACTGGAGAGAGGCAGAACTGATGAGGGATCCGGGTCCCTGGACATTCCTTTCCCATCAGGCTACTCAATAACAGTTTCTGGTTTTCCTGTGTCACTCTCACCTTGTCAACACTCCATCACCCGAGAAAGAGGGAACCGATAGATAACTATATAACACACACCCGTCACACACAATTCAGAGAGTGAATCAATAAGTTGCGTCAAACCAAGAACTTTTCAAAAACACTGAAATAGAACCTTTGCATCCAAAAGCAGAGAGACAGTATCAGGGTAGGCTGAGAGGCGGAGGCAACAACACCTCTGAGGCTCATGAACCCCTTAAGATTCCCGGCTTTCTGCTTTTCAAAGTAGGCTCCCTGGGCCGAGAGAAATTTAATTTCAGTTTGATACCCATTTTCCCAAAGGGCAGTGAAAGTACTGATTTAGAGATCAGGGAATTCCTACAGACTAGAGACACAGGACACTCGAGTCCTAAGCAAGAACTTGGGAAAAGACGTTCAGCCGCCTCAAAGAGGAGGAAACTTAGTCTGGCCTCTCAGAATCAAACTTGCAGCGGGCGGTGTCTTTCACCGCGAGGAGAGCTGGGCTCGCCGGGCTCGCCGGGTCCCCTCTGACGTCCACCAATTGGAAGGGCAGGGGGCGGAGCCAGGGAAACGCGGGAAGGAGGGGAGGGGCCTCTGGTGGCGGTCGGGAACTGGTGGGGGAGGCGGCAACATTGTTTCAAGTTGGACAAATTGACAAGAGCCAGACGTAGACTGCGTTCCATCCCGACCTGGGGCTACGGTGCTGAGCTCTGTTTCCCCCTCCTCCGCCTCCGAGAGTCAGGGCCCGCTTTCTGCAGGGTTCCCAGGCCCCCGCTCCAGGGCCGGGCGACCCTACTCTCTAGCGCTTCATGGAGAACTTCCAAAAGGTGGAAAAAATCGGAGAGGGCACGTACGGAGTTGTGTACAAAGCCAAAAACAAGTTAACGGGAGAAGTGGTGGCGCTTAAGAAAATCCGCCTGGACACGTGAGTGGCCTCTGTAACCGGGACTCCTAACTAGGGAACTCCTTGACTGTCCCCCCCCACCCCCACCCCCACCCCCAACAGGCGAGTAGCCGTCCAGGGACCGGAAGGTAGCAGGGAGGGACTTCTTTTGAAGTGAAGGGGTGGGTTGCGGGTAGTAGAGGGTTCCTCTGGACAGAGTGTAGGGTTGTGTAGAATCCATGGAAAACTTCCTTCCCTTACTGAGCCCGCCGAAGTCTCCAAAAGTGCAGTAAGAGAGACTCGAAAAGAAAGGAGGCCTCTGGGATTGAGTCAAGGATTTTCCATGGATTTGGGTTATGTGGCAACCAATAAAGAACACTTCACTGAATGAGCAGCTGGCCTCACGGCCCCAACCCCACCCTCATCTTAGAATTCTCTCTCTCTTTCAAAAGAATGGCAGTTGAACCTCGCTGGCCCCTCTGGGGAGACTGGGTGTTACTCTTTTTATTTATTTATTTATTTATTTTTAAATTTCCTTTTCTTTGCTTCACCTTCACCAGGAGGCTTTACTTACTTACCCCTGGAAAAAAGGAAATAATGACCCTAATGTGTCTGTCTGAAAGCCACACCCTGACTACCCAAGAATTACCTCCTTACAGCACCCTTCCTCTTTGACTTTCCAAGGGGATACTGGGGTGGTGTCTCCTTGGGGGAAAGGAATGACTAGATTGGGAAGAAGGAATATTTGTAACCATATTCCCATCTCTGCTTTTCCAACCTCTCCAAGTGAGACTGAGGGTGTACCTAGTACTGCCATCCGTGAGATCTCTCTGCTCAAGGAACTTAACCACCCTAATATTGTCAAGTAAGTATGTTCTGAGAGGTGATCTAACAAGGAAGGAGAATGAATTCTCTCTGGATAGCCTGGGCATTTCTCTCCTGCACCTCCATTTTCCAGACCTTCTCTTCCACAGGCTGCTTGATGTCATCCACACAGAAAATAAACTCTACCTGGTTTTTGAATTTTTGCACCAAGATCTTAAGAAATTCATGGATGCCTCTGCCCTCACTGGCATTCCTCTTCCCCTCATCAAGGTAATGCTCATCATCTATTGAGCACATGTTTTAGGGGTCTAGAGCTAGGCAATTCTGACTGGATGATAATTTGTTATCTTGGCCTCCTTCTTCCCAGTCTACCCCCAACCCCCTTTCTTTTGTGTCTCTCTCCCTGCTCATTATATTCATTAACCCTAGGGTTGGGCTGAAGAATCAAAGTTGAAACTCTAGTGAGGCAACTCAGACGCTCAGGTGAGAGGTCAGATGAAACTGAGATAAATGGGAGTTGGTAGATTCCTCCAAAAAGCCCTTTCACCTATTAGTGGAAAAAATAGCTAGTGAATCTCTGTTGTCTGTTTAAGCCTGGGTTCTTCACTTCTGGAACTACTTTCTTTCAATCTAACAACAGACATTTATTCAACACACATTTATTAAATACCTTAAATGTGTTAGGGTATGGAAAGGGATCCATAACTGAATAAGACCTTGTCTTCTTTTTTTTTTTTTTTTTTTT